TTGTAGTATTTAACCAAGCAATATTTATTGAGCACTTTCTGTGTGCATCCTGCTATGCTAGGCACTGCACAAAAGGTCCAGGGCTCGTGTGGGAACCAGTACGTACATAAACATCTGGAACACAGGCAGTCTGGTCAGTCGGGTATGGGCAGTAAGAAGCCACAGTCAGTCCAGGTATGGGCCGCAACAATGCAGTCTTACTGATGGGATCTGGGAAGGCTTGGAAGAGGGATCAGACTGGGGCTGGGCTTTGGAAGAAAATGAGAATTTTGAGAGAGCAACTCCATCTCTAATGTAATTTTTCGCACCTTCAGATACCCCTTGACTCACCCCTGTTTATTCCAGATGTGGGGCTCTACAATGAGCAGCTCTGACAATTTCTTATGACGGATGTTCTCTGGGCCCACTCAAAGCTAGTGCCATCATTAAACAGATTCCCACTAGAGCCCTGGGTTGGCTGAGACTGGCACTGGGCCAGAGCCTATCCGCTATGCATGCTCAGGCTTGGCTCAGTGCTGGGGGCGGGGGATCTCGGAGCTCTGTTCTTGGCGTTACTCCTGGGGATAATAATAGTACGTGGCTTTTATCGAGATTTGCTTTTCCAAGGAACTGAGAATGGGAAGGAGACATCAATCCAGACTTGGCAGATGAAATAGAATCTCAGGCTTGTGATTTGACCTTGACACAAAGACATCAAATAAATGGTACATTGGACTTTGTCAGTCATTCCCCCACCTTCCAGACCTACTGAGAATGAAGCTTTCCTGATTTCTCTTTACCAGATGTGATCTTTCTTTCAATGCTTGCGGCATTTTGTGCTTTCCAAAGATGCCCTGCTAGTCTTCAAGGATCCAGGCTCTGCCTTACCTTCTTCTTGCCCAGGTCCTTGCCCAGGGGATGACTTGTCACCATCTTTGTACCTTTCAGCCATCACCCCTCCCCCACCCAAGGTGCCTGCATGCTCAGTGCCTCCACGGAGCAGGTGCTGAGTGGCCTGTGGTTGTTTCAATGAAGTTGAACATCTTGATTCTACAGCTGGCCCCCTCTGCTTCTGCCTTAGTCTCTTTAAAAGCTCATGCCTATCAAGACTTCTGATAGGTGCCCTTTCTATCCCCTGAAAGATTCAGGTAAGTTCTGTCTATTGTTCCTGGCAGTTCGTGTCATTTTATGAACATGAAGATCGACAGAGCCAGTGCCCTGTTTTGTCTTATGATTCACTCGGATTATCCCCTGAAAGATTCAGGTAAGTTCTGTCTATTGTTCCTGGCAGTTCGTGCCATTTTATGAACATGAAGATCGACAGAGCCAGTGCCCTGTTTTGTCTTATGATTCACTCGGAGAATTAGTTCAATATGTGAAATCTGTGTACACACATTCACTTGGCATGAATTATGACACCCCGAGGACTGGGTGAGTAAATGGATTACTAGAAAGTCTGAGTACATTTTGGGCAGGTTGTGGGCGGCAGCCAGCTCACTGAGCTGAGTGGGAGGGTCTCCATGAGGACATTTGTGTCCCTGATGGCTACAGCTCTCTTCCCACCCTGCATCTGTGGGACTGGGATGTCTGCCATCCAGCACCTCCTTCCTTTTCCTAATTTAAGGAACAAGCCGGTGGCTGCCTGGTGGAGCCTGCTCCTTGCTTGGCTCTGGGGACTCTAAGAGTGGGGTGTCTGGGAATGCTTCTCTGCCAGGGTCTCCTTCCACGCTGCACCCAAAGTGGCCTGGATTCTGTATGGGGAGGGGTCCTGGGTGTTCACTGGGGACACCCGTGCTGCTGCAACCCCAGGGGCACTGGGATGCCCACCTTGCTGCACAGCTTCCCCCAGCACAGCACGCTGAGGCCTCGGCAGTTTTTTCACCCTTGCTGAAGTCTAGATGTAGATACAGCTCCTTGGTTTTCATTTAAAACTGTCCCTTCTAAAGCATCTGGACCAAGACCTGATAACTTTGTCCTTCCTTGGGCTCTTTCAGTTCCTCTCTGATCAGCACAGTCCCTTACTGGCTGCCTTTGTGTTCCACCTGCTGTCATTCTTGGTGGCATACCCCTGCCGGTTGACCTCTATCCATCCGTCAGGCGGGCATCCATCAGGCGGGCACCAGGGAAGCAAGGGGCTCACTGTAAACCAGAAGGAGCAATTTCATAGCACACCACAGTGCCCCATGCCCTGTGCATTCCCTTTGATCTACAGAGCTGGGAGCTTCCTGCACGGGGTCCCCTTCATTACACGGTAGGGAAGTGTGACGGCAGCAGGCTGGCCTCTCATGCTCAGCCCAGGATTTGCTCCTGGCAGTGCGAGCCTCAGCTGCACCCCTGCATTGGGGGTCTGATGGCTGGTGGGGCTGAGAGCCAGCCTTTCCCAGGACAGGACCTCTCAGCCCCATCTGTCTCCCAGGCCCAACAGCAGCCGCCTCCTCTCTCTCCCTCCTCAGTCCGCAGCGGCAGCTCCTCAGAGAGCCGGCTCAGTTTCATCACTAAGCTCAGGCAGCGGTTCAGAGAGCCTTTCTCTGCACCCATGTGTCTGCCGAGCTTGTCTCTCCGATGTTCCCGCTTGTGCAGGATGCACGTGGTGCCATACATCAGCCGTAGGTCAGGCTTCCTTCATTCCCGGGGGAAGCCCTTAGAAAGGTTGCTCCCTGCTCAGTGTCCCACCCGTGTCCCCCCCGCACCCCTGCCTGGCTTATCCACCCCATGTGTAGCTCCTCATTCTCCCCTCATTTGTCACCCCCAGTGGTAGTACCCCACTTGTCCTCAAGAGTTTCAGAGGCCCTGCCGAGTGGCCACATGCAAGCCCCGTGATCACCAGGAAGTCATTCTTCACAACATCAGACTCAAAAAGCCTCAGTTGTCCCTGGAGAGACAT